ACAGCACAGGCTGTTCCTCTCTTGCTGTGCTGTCATCGGCTCTTCTAGAAACGCTAGCAGGCCCCCTGGACCCCCTTCAGTTTTTCTGAGGACAGCCAGGAGACACGGCACACGTGTTCCAGAGCATCATATAATGTCCTTCACTTTCCCTCTTTTTGGCTCTGGCTTCCTGCTGGGATCACTTGCCAGTTCCTTTAATGTCTGTAGGGCTGTCACTACACTTGAGCCACCAAAGCTGAAATGCTCCTGGGAAAAAGTCCAGTGACTTTAATGATGCCTAAGCCTCAGGCCTAGTTGGGGACGCTATTTATTTCACATCTCTACAGCAGCTCCTTGTGCCACTAACCATGCATGGTTGCTCATAGCACCCATATGCATTGCAGAGGTACCCATAATAGAGAGAACACAGCAGGGCACAGGTGGCTCATGCCTATAATTCTAGCTACTTGCGAGGCTGAGATCAGGAGGATTGTAGTTTGAGGCCAGCCAAGGCAAATAGTTTGTGAGACCCCATCTCCAGAAATAACCAGAGCAATAAATGGACTGGAGGTTTGGCTGAAGTGATAGAACACCTGTTTTGCAAGCATGAGGCCCTGAGTTTAAACCCCAGTCCAGCAAAACAGACAGAGAAAGAGAGAAACCCTCCCCCCTGACCTTGTGTCAGGGATCTACAATAGGTTCCTCTTACCCCCTCTCATTTACACATGCTTAAGAGTGGACTGAGAGGAGCTTCATCCTATATTCACAACACCCTTCTTTTTCTCTATCTCTGGATCTTGTCATTGGGCAAGCACAGTTGCTGTTACTCTCACCCAAACTGCTCAGTTTTTTACTTCCCAGGAGGCATTTTGTTTCTTTGTTTTCTTTCTTTCTTTTTTTTTTTTTATGGCACTGGAGTTTGAACCCAGGGCCTCATGCTTGCTAGGTGGGTGCTCTACCACTTGAGCCTCTCCAACAGCCCCAGGAGGCATTTTGGTTCCTTCCAATAGTTAGAAATATAGTTTTGATACCACCAGTCTTCTGTCTTGCCCAGAAATGCCTACTTTCTAGAGTGAACATAGACTTCAACCAACTTCTTTTTTTTCCACTGGCACTGGGGTTTGAACTCAGGGCCTCCTGCTTTCTAGGCATGCTTGACAGGTGCTCTACTGCTTGAGCCACTCCACCAGCCTTGTTTTTTCTGTTGGGTATTTTGAGATAGGGTCTCGTGAACTATTTGCTTGGGCTGGCTTTGAACCGTGATCCTCCTGATCTCTGCCTCCTTAGTAGCTAGGACTTACAGGCATGAACCACAAGCATCTGGCTAACTTTATTTTTATTTGAGAGCTTTGCTTCCCAAGTACCAGGATCAGAATTCAAGTCCTGTTGCAACTATGATGATGATGATAAAATTTTCAGATCCCACACTCAGCACTTTAGATACATGATCTTATGTAATTCTCCCAACTCTATTTGATGCAAACTATTATTGTCCTCCTCTTAAGAGGAGAAAATTGTGGCTTAAAAAGCTTAAATAGGTCCACAGTCACACAGCTGGCAAGGTGCACAGCCAGCCTGCTCAACTGCTTCTCTACTTGGATTGAGCTTTGCGACTGCCTGGCCTGGGCCTCCCAGTTTCCCTGGGGCTCCTGCCAGCTCTGCTATCATCATTTCTAGGCCTCTTTCCCAAGGGCCACCACCACAATCCACAGGTAGCTTGCCAACCTTATCTGAAAGCCTCCAAGTTGGTAGAAAGTTCTAGACCTACACCCTCCCTTTTCTTATATCCCCTCATTGCTTCCCAGGACTTTGTGGAGGAGTAAGGTAGGAGGAATTGTTAAGTGGAGCCTCTCAAGACTTCCATGGAGCATCCCACCCTCATCATCCTAGCCCCTTCCTCAGATTCGGTTCTGGAACCTGTTCCCTGAAAGATTATCAACATCTTGCATGGCATGGCTAAAATCGTGCCTGATCTTGGTGGGTGTTGTAATTGAATAAAGAATTCAAATCTGGGCTTTAAACGCCATAGAAAAAGAAAAAGTTACTGTTTTTTCATAATGCCCATTGTAATTAGAGTCCCTCCCACCCTCCCATGGTACTTTTTCCACTTGAACTCAAAAACTGGACAGATAAATACTGCTGCAAAGTGAATGTATGGGTATGCTTTCCTTCCCTCATTCATTGCACTCCCAGCTTTATCACATCTAAAATGAAAGACTGCTTGATGTGTCTCCACTAGCACAAAGCCAAGGGCTGATCAGTCTTGATAATCATACATTTGAAAGTAAAGTTTAGGGAGTGAATGATCCTGTTTGACTACATGGATTATAGGGTATTTTTGTTTGTTTTGGTGGTGGTGAGGTTTGAATTCAGGGCTATGCAGGTGTTCTGCTTGAGCCAAACTTCTAGCCCTTTTTACTATGGTTATCTTGAAGATAGGGTCTCACTTTTTGCCCAGGCTAGCCTAAACACAATCTTCCCTATTTTACAAGTCCCACCATACCTGGGATGACAGGCATACACCATCACACCCATGTTTTTCCCTCAAGATGGGCCTCACAAACTTCTTTTTCCCCAGGCCAGCCTGGAACCACCATTCTCCCAGTCTCAGCCCATCATGTAGCTAGGATCATAGGGTTGAGCCATGGAGTCTGGCCTACATGGATCTTTTTTTAAACCAACTATCTGCCATTGTTTCACCCATTCACGGTGATAGCCCTGCCACTAACCATCTTTGTAATGTCTCAGTGTCTCAGTTTCCCCATTTGTAATTCACAGGAATTGGATCCAAGATTTCTAAGGTCCCCGAAAGTTCTCAGGTCTTCTGTTTATATCACTAATATAATTTACAAGTCAGATGATGAAAGAGCTATTTGAAAAAAAAATGATCCCCCATAAAAATTTCACCACAGAATTGTTTTATAGAGCAAGTTTCTACTGTGTACTTAGAGCAGGATTCAATTTATTTAAAAAAATAATAATAAGTTTTATTTGTGGCCAGATTTTGAGTGACACTTTTTTGTTGTTTAAAGCGATGCTTGCCCAGAGGTCACAGTTTCTAAAAACACTGTCACTCACTCCCTCCTTCACAGAGTCCTTGACCATGAAACATTAGTACAATCCATTTTAAAATGTTTAAAACCCTCTTGAACTGAGGGTTTTCTTTTACTCTCTCTCTCTCTTTCACTGTAAAAAATGTATTCACATGGCTTAGTGATGATAACCTACTGGTCCTTTTGAAACACACACAAGATAATATCACTGCCCTGTCAAACTCTGCAGAGATGTCTCTGTCCTGAGCTTTCCAGATGACAGCCAGCCTTTGCACATGCTCTTCCTCCTCCTGGACACTCTTACCACACTCCCTTTTACTTCAGTCATTGTTCCCTGACTTTCTTCACTACATCAGTTCCATTTGTTATAGCCCTCAGGTGAATTCAAAGTTTATTTGGAGGTACATGTGTACTGTGACCAGATTCCACTCTGGTGTTTGCTCACATAGGCACTGGATGCTCACTGTGTGCACAGAATACCCAGGCACTGGGTTCACAGAAGGGTTTGTATCTTCAGTCCACTGAGATAAATAGAGAGTAACCAAATAAGAGAATGAGCAGGACTGCTACTGCCCTCCCCTTACAGAACTTCAGAGTTAAAGTAGTGATTGGAACTGGCATAGTGACACGTGTCCTTAATTCCAGCACTTGGGAGACTAAGGCAAGAGGATCATGAGTTTGAAGCCAGCCTGGGCTGCACAGTGAGACCCTGCTTCAAAATAAAAAGAAAGGAGTGGTTGGAGCATGGAATGAGCTACAAGAGAGAAAGGGTAGAATGACAGCCCATCAACTCCAGTGAGGAGCTTAGGTTATATTCATTCATTTGCCCAAACAATCCTCTTCACACTTTCAGTCCGAGAAGCAGGAGAAAGGGCTGTTCCCTAACTTCCCAGACTGCCCGTGACAGCTTGAAGGATGGCCACCTTTAGCACGGTAAGAGGACCAGTGACCTGTTTTCCTCCTAAGAGGAATGATCCTCCTAACAGTGTCCCACCCCCTAAGATGAGACCACCCCACTCCAAAGCCAGGGCCTCTTGATTTTTGCTTCTATAAATGAATTTTCTCTTTTTCATTATGTACTCAGTAACATAGCCTTCCATTTTCATTTAATTTTCACAGTAATTACAGAACATCTCTCCTATCATTCCCATCCTACAGACAGGGATACAGATTCAACTACTGAGCTAGCTCCCAGTAGAAGTGGGATTTCAAAGTCAGGTCCACAGCTCTTATTCAGTCCAGCATTCCCCCATCACATCACAGCCTCCTGGGCTGAACTAGGCCTTTTTCAAAGCCCCAGGAAGCCAAAGTTGGCTGCTTCCTGCTGGCAGGGAGCTCCTTCCAGGCCTCTGTACTACTGCCAAAGAAGTGGGGGTAAGAGAAGGGAGGTGGGTAGGTTGTACACCAAGCCGGTGTCCACTTTGATTTCCCTCCCTCACGGGAGAAGGAGGGAATGGGTTCCATGGGGGTGGGGGAAAGGGGGAAGAACTGTGAAATTTAATAATTCATGACACTTGATAGGTATCAGAAAAGTATTTACTCACATTCATCCCCTGAAAGTCACATTCTCCATGTGTTAGGATTTGTCTTTCAACCATGGCATCCAACCACGTGGACTCAGCAAGAAATAAGCAAGGTTTCAGCTGAATGCTGTGGACAGAGTTTCATTTAACTTCATTTTTTCCAGCCAGGGCTGGCTCCCAAGCTAGTTTTTCTTACTAGGTTGTTTGCTACATGAAAAGCAAATTCCCAGAGGTTCCCGAGATTGCAGACATCCTATGCAAGATGACTGCTCCCACCCACCCACCCACCCACCCACTAATAAGACATAATGCCGGCCTATTTTTGGTAACAATTAAAGGGCCTCCCGGTGAAAGCAGAAAGCTGTTTATTTTCTGTTACATCACTTCACTTTGCCTTCGAAGGCTGGTCTGTGCTCAGTGTTTTCTGGTGATGCAAGTCGTTCTCTTCCTCCAGCAGTTGGATCGCTCCCATCTCACAGTACCTCACAGGTCTCTTCCCCCGAGCAGTGCACTGCTGGAGCGAGGAGCAGCTCACGAATCAGCTGCAGGTCCCTGTTTTGAAAAGCAAAGATACAGAGGCAGAGGAAAAGGGTGGATTCCTCTGTGACCTGTTCTTAGAGCAAGACAATCACCATCTGAATTCCAGAAGCTCTGTTCATGTGTGGGGATATTTTTTCGACTGCATGGAATCAGAAAGAAGCAAAAGGATGGGAAATGCCTGCATCCCCCTGAAAAGAATTGCTTATTTCTTATGTCTCTTATCTGCGCTTTTACTGACTGAGGGGAAGAAGCCAGCGAAGCCAAAATGCCCTGCTGTGTGTACTTGTACCAAAGATAATGCTTTATGTGAGAATGCCAGATCCATTCCACGCACCGTTCCTCCTGATGTTATCTCATTGTAAGGCCCGTAAGCATTTTGATATCTAATTTACGATTTAAAAATTCCAGCTGGTGAATTTGGGGCTTTGTATGTATTGGTGGAAGGGCATGGAGAGAGAGATTTCTCTTGCATGCTTGGCCATTTGACAGTGCTGACATTTTGCTGCATTTAGAATTTTTGATTTTTTATTAGCTGCTACTGAACATGCTTGCCCCTCCACCCCCAGACATTATTATAAGAAACCTGTAGCGGTTCATCTCTCTCATACTTCATCTGGGAAGGAACAGTATCTTAGTTCATAAAATAGTGTCAAAATAGTAACTGTTATGCTAAACCGGATTAACATAAGGTTTGTTCTCTGTGTGTGTGTGTGTCTCTTTGTGTGTGTCTGTTTGGTTTTTGTGTTTTGTTTTCTTTCAGATCCTTTGTGAGATCTGGTTTTACTGAAATCTCAGAAGGGAGTTTTTTATTCACACCATCGCTGCAGCTCTTGTGAGAAATATTTATATCATGACTATTTTTAATATGGCATATATTTGGATAAGCCTTCTAAAATGAGCTCAATATTAATTTTGTCAAATGTGATGATATTTCTGAAAAGAAAGAATATCAGTCAAGTGAGAGGTAGATGGGTGTGCTTGCAACTTCACATCTATAGTGCAGGGTTGATCCTTGCAATGGCAAATTTGCTAACCTGTAATGCTGTGTACTTAAATGGCTATTTATGAAGTTGTTGGACCATTGCAATAGGATCCCAATTCCATTCCACTATTTTACTTTCATTTTTAACTTGAGAACTTTGGTTATTTTGCCCTGGAGTTTTTGCATTTGTCAATACAGAACCCAGCATAACATATGCGCTCAAGATGTTGTCTCCTGGGAATCTGGGGCAGCTACTCTGTATGATTTAGCATGTGGGGGAAAGAAAAACCTCAGTTCTTTCTAGGTAATTCCTTAAAATACCAATTCTCCAGAAACCGCTTTCTAATCTCATCTAATTTATAACTTATTCCCTTACAGAGAGGAAAAGAAAATATTAATATAGGGTAGGGCAAAGAATGACTCTTTGCTCTATGTTTGGAATTGGCCACAAGGGAAGCACGCATTTAGTGTATGCCTGAAAATATTTTAAAAAATAATATTTGCTAAGGAATCAGCTCTCTTCATAGGCGTGATGTAACATACATAATTTTTTCTGATGTGTAATGTTTAGCAATTGGAGTTCTAGTTCTTAGAGAAATAGCATACGGGGGTCAAGAGGTCTGAAGTATCAGGCAACAGACTTGGGTTGGTAACTAGAAAGGTCCAAGGGAGAATTAGTCAACTGTAAATGCACTGAGTTTGCAGTCTTAACTCTATAATTAAGTTTTCTGCTTATTTGTGTTTTGGGTTTTTTTGTTTGTTTTCTTGCTTCATTTGGCTATTTTGTCTGTTTAAAATTATGCATACATAGGCAAGCAGCATGGGATTAAAATTGGAGAGCCCTGTATGGAATTGAAAGATCACCCCATCACTCACTAGACCATAGATATGTAGTCTTGTGCAAATTACTGAATGTCATCAAGCCTCAGTCTTCTTATCTGTAAAATGGAGGTGATAGCACATACTTTGAAGGGTTGTTATCAGAGATAAATAAGATTTCATAGTTAAAAGTCTTGGTTGATGCTTAATTTTTATATAAAAGTAAAAATCTAAGTCATTTAATCTATTGTTTGGTCTATATGAAATTCCAAAACTGGTTTGACTATTTCATTGAATTTCTGAACTTAATCAGGTGTTTTGACATTATATAATGATGCTGGCTGATGTCCTTCCCCTGGCTAATGTCTTTGAGTGATTAGCAATTAAGTACGTTATTCCTAAGGGGTTTATTTGTTTGATTGATGGCCAGCAGGGTGATTAGGAAAATCTTAAAATATTAAACAAATCTAAAAAAGATACTCTTTAGTACAGAAAAGGGCAAAGTCTTTGACATTGGGATCCTTCCATAGGATAAGAATTTGTTGTACCAGAGAAAGTGATCAAGTATCCTTATATTGCTCATTGGTTAAATAAATAAATGGCTCATGTAAAATACATCCTTTCGATGTGCTTAGGCACCTCCCTTCCCCTGGGATAGTTAAATAGATCAGTCCTTAAAATTTGAGAAGTCTCAGTCACACAACTGCTCATATTCTGACACTAGGTGGATGTCAGCTGTGACACAGAAAGCCTGGATGGATCAGCCTAATCAGCTATCTCATCTCCACCTTGTTTTTGTTGGCTAGACCTAGCTACGACAAGCACAGATGCCAGGCAGTGTTATAGAAATAGTTACCGGCTGCTGCGCGGTAATGTGATTACATGTATTTAGAATCACAGAGGGAAGCCAAAGGACTGGTTTTAAATAGCCCTCGCCAAGTATGTGCCATGCCCCTCTGTCCCATGCTCCAAGTTCCTATGGAACATTCCAGCCCTTATTTCTAAAAGCAGTTCAAGTTTCAGAACCAACAAAAGGGCGAAGTAATCTTGCCCCAAACGTCCTTGGTTAACTCACTCTGGCCAACTTCACCATAGTAGATTTTTGCCATGTTGGTCTTAGGCAAATCTGTCAGGGGTCAAAGTTTATCTCTAATCACCAGGACCCTGTCCTTAAGGATTTCATTCTTCATCTGTCATGCTCAATATTCTCAGCTTCCTCCTGTCCTCAAGAAAAGGTCAAATAAGATCATTTTCACTCAGTTGGAAAAAATAATAAGGCTCTGAATATGACCTATTCCATGATAATGACAATTGTGGGAATGCATGGATCACGACAGAAAGGGTTTTCTGAGGGACAGGACTGTCCGGTGCCCTGAAAATCCCATGTGGGCTGCCAATCTGCCATTGGAACATGAAGGCCTAGATCCCAAGCCATGGCTTAGGGTTGGCAATTAATTCTAATGTCATGTGTGACCATGGATCACCAAACAGGCCCATCCTATCCTGTGCAGTCGTAAATTTCAGAATCAATTCTGCTTGATCCATGTTGAAGGCAGCTGGTTTCTTACTCTGTTGTTGGAAAGGAAAAAGAAATATCCCATTTCTGTTGACCTACAACAATCTGATAATGTTATTATGGCCCCAAACACTTCTTCAGAGTTTCTGTAGAAGGGATAATAAGAAGTACTTTTTGAAATGTCAACCTGAGATACTGAGGAAAATGGAGACAATACCTTGAGTCACATGCAGTGTTTAGGAAAAGATTCTGGTAGGCCATGGCTGGCAGTTTGTGTTGGAAAATTAGAAAAATAAAACTCACACTCTGTAGAGAAGAAAGACTAAAATGATCCAATAAAAATTCATCAGATTAGTTGTACAAAACATTTTAAAAACTCATTTATAGTTTTAAATACCACCAAAAAAAAAAAAAAACCCTTTTCCCAAGCAAATGCAATTTTATTCATGTTTTCCACAGGGCCAGTTTTGAAACATAACCGAGGAGAATGGTTATGCATTCCAGTTTGTGCTTAGTGATAGAGAGTGAGTGGTACTTTTAGTGAATGCAATTTAGAGAAATGTGTTTTCACACATACAGCCCTGTTCCTTCTCAACTCCAGACTGAAATCCTCAGTGATAGAGCTCATGACAGAAGCAAGATTCAAATTTTAGAGGATAAAATGTGGCCACATTGCCATTCGTTTATAGCATTTTAATAAACAAAGCCTCCTGAAACTCCTAGGATAGTTCTATATGCAGGGAGTAAATTCTATATGCAGGGTTAGTTTTAGTATTATACTCAAA